GCGGCACAACACGTACGAAAATCTCACAATTTGAGAACCACATGCCGCCCTGTGCCAACTTCCACATTGCCTGACTTACGCACGCTTAGTTCCGCGCAAAGCTAATGCACCATTAACATGGTCCTGAAGTTGTTTACAGCGTCGGAGATCAGGCGGCGGCCCCTCACCAATATGTTTCTCTCGCTCAGCGTGTTGGCAGCGGAAAGGGAACACCCGTATTTTCTGTCGTCTGTCTCGGGAGCGAGGTTTCTGTGAACGTCTCTCAGGCTCCGCTCCCCGACTGTTGTGTCTCACGTCACTTATGTCACCGCCTACTCTGGAATCTCGCGCAACGAATCTGAACGGGAAAATATGAATGCAGCTAACAATGAGTCATTAACCATGGCCCCTTTTTGATACAGTGTCTCTGACGAGGCTAGACGCCTCGCGAATCACACGCGTGACAACTACGCTCACGATAAGCAAAGGATAGATGGCACATGTGACTTGGCTATTCGCCTCGCGAAACATACGCGTGACAATTACGCTCACGATAAACAAAGGATAGATGGCCCATCACACTCATCACATCCCTCTCATCTTTCAGTCCTGAGCTGGAGATTGAAAGGGTAAAGCGAGGATGTCTCAGCTTCTCACATGCAAGTCAAGTCGGGGTGACCGTGGGGATACTGGTTTTATATTCGTATCCAGTCAGTCGGCGTCACAAATGAGTTCAGCATGACATGAAAGGCGACGACGACCAGCGTCGACAAACCGGACTTCTCCGAAAGCTGACGAACCCACGGCTGAAGTTTCTCAGTATTTACTTAGACTCGCTGCGCAGCATGATAGCTGCAGATAGACATGACACCGACAGACCCGGAGGATGCCGCAGCGATGGAACTCTGCTTACGTTCCTTGTTTATCCGCCACTGGTGCAGGGTTCTTGGATCCAATCCACTGCAATGGCAGATGTGAGAACCCTGCACATTTGAAGCTTCCTGGATGTATGGTCACCCTTCAGTAGTTGACTATTGATTCACTTAAAAGGAGTGCCACACATTTCTATGGTGGTTTTGAACTGAAATGGCCATCTTGGAGATCGTTCGGTGCAGTTCAGTACCATGCCCTTCTTAAGACCTAAACCCCTTTAGTTTCTGAGCTACACGCCCTCGAAGGTGAGGAGACTTTTCGGGGAGAATTATTGAAGGGGAACCTGGCATTCATGACATTCATGGCGTTATAAAAACGTCATTGAAATCCTGCCATTCCATAAGCCATGTGGTGATCAACGTCAAGTCAAATAGAATGGTCGAGTCGTTCATATCATATCATATCTCAATCAATGATGCGCAAGATACGATGACACAAACAAGTAATTACCTATCCAGGAACGTGTTTACCACGCGGAGAAATTTTGTTGTCTGGAGCAGTATTTTCCACATTAGGATATTCCGATTGGTATAATCGACCTTCTTCCGTCATATCTGGTGCTCGCTTAAATGTGTTCACGTGTGGAACATTCCCTTCAATGCTGCTTTAATTATCCACCACCATGAGTTTTTGAGCCTCACAGACTTGACTTTACCTGTCGGCGCTGTAACGTCAGCGCTCAATGGCGGCTGAAATTGGCGTGAAATTTGAAATATATTTTGAATTTTTCTGTTGTACCTATCTCAAGCCATGTTGAAGAAAATTTGCGGTACAAGTTCTGTCGTCAATTTTCTATCGTACCTCTCTGCAACCGGTCTTGACTGGCTACGTACCAGAACCTTTGCAATTAAGTTCAGATTTTGATCATAAATGACGATTCTATTTTCTTTGCGATCTATGTTTTCGATCATCATACATTGATAACCATTGCACGCTGCCTTTAACATGTTGTTAAAGTTGCGAAGCATCAGTTTCTTTGCAATCTTATCAGACAGACCGATTATTATAGTATCGTTGTGCTCGACTGTCTCATATACTAAAGAATAGGTAGATCAGGTGATATCCTGATGTGATGCCTGATATGCTTTGCTTTTTACTGAGGAGCATTGACTGGACGCTTTCTTTTAAAATATCATTCTGTGGGCCTTAAGGTCAAAAGGCTTTAAAACTTTCCTTTGATTTGTGTTTCTCTCTCTTTTCTTTCTTCTCTCTTCTCTCTCTCTCTCTCTCTCTCTCTCTCTCTCTCTCTCTCTCTCTCTCTCTCTCTCTCTCTCTCTCTCCTCTCTCTCTCTCTCTCTCTCTCTCTCTCTCTCTCTCTATCTCTCCTCTCTCTCTCTCTCTCTCTCTCTTCTCTCTCTCTCTCTCTCTTCTCTCTCTCTACGAAGCCGTGAGCGTGAGTAGCGGCACGTGCCCATTTTTGGTGGGGGACATTAGCCATGGGCGACCTAGATCAGCTCCATACTCTGGAGCTTCTCGTTTAAAACTCCCAAATTTTTGCATGCATTATGGTCAAACTGTATTCACTTATTTCTTCGCTGATCCGTTTTGACCATCATAATTTTTGGCATGCGTTGCAGACAAACAGAATTTATATACCAATGCGGTATTTTAGTGTTGGTGGAAGCACTGTTATGCACGGTTAAAACATACGTTTCTGCAAGTCGGTGACCATTCAGCTGCGGTAGACAAACAAGTAAGAGAAAGGGCATTCAAACGATTCCGAAGCTTGAACAGTCATACTACATAATTACCATAACAATACTAGCATTGAAATTACAGTCAAGTCGAGAAGGTAATTTGAAAAAGAGGCTGCAAACCTGAAAAGGCTTGGGCATTGCTGATTTGTTTCGGTAGCCTGGTAATGTGGGAGTCCAGTCCCGGTCCAGGCTCGCAGGCTTTTTGCCATAATTTGCACGCTTTAATAAATGACGCATGCTAGCTTCTTTGTTGCCTAGGTATTGACTTGCCTGGTCAGCTATTGAGGACAACACATTTCATTCGACCTGTCTTTCGTGCGCCTGAGAAAACCATCGAGCGTTCTCTTCGCTCGCTCTGTGAATGATCCACTGACCTGACAAGTGACCCGCGCGGCACGAGACAATACGTCGCTATTGTCACGCGGTGTCTGTCGTGACGATTGCCACGCACCGCAAACAATGCGATAGCCGTATGATGAACATAAAAAGTATATGTTGCCTGGCACGCACACCGGTGGCAAAGACACGCTTAGAAGCACGGTCATTTGAATTTCAGTGTTTGTGCCTCATTTCGGTGCAGAAGTGCTTGCAGAAACGTCTCCACAAAAGCTCAGCAAACCCCTTGGTTCCCACGTTCAGCGTTCTGTATGATATTTGTTATGCCTTTGCTCGCTTTGCTAGAAAGTCTACAAATACATGGGACGTCTCGAGTCCCTGGGGATGTTTTGGTGACAGTCCCCATGTTCTGGAAGTTGTGGGAGACGCGACCCCGATGTCCATTATGGTGTTGCCGCGCTTGTCCGAAAATATTTGCCATCATTGCCTCTGCGCGGTTGCAGGCCATTTCCAATCATAAACGAAGCGGGAAAATGCTGAGGAAAATACGCCGTTAAAGCAAGCATGTCATGAAAGCAATTCACGCTCGTCATCTGTGCTTGATATCGTAAAAAAACATCAGTCGGGACCTTACTGCTACGCGATGGGTCGCGTTCCAGGAACGCTAAGATGGTGCTTTACGATCTAAACCGATTCCGACTATCCTTGCTCAGGAAGCTGGAGAGATGGGGCGGGCTCGGCACGGCGACCAGCGTCTCCCCGCCGTGGCGAGCACCAGGTGACAGGCTCGTGAAGTGTGTGCAATCCATACGAATATCCTGAGGCGGGCGCTCCTACTTCATCAGTGTAGGATACAGAACATGGTTGACGTGTCTTGTGTTTGCTACAGGAGATGGATCACATGCATTCTGTAGGATACGGAAGATGGGTTATATGTCTTCTGAAGGATGCAGAAGATGGGCCGCATGCCTTCGCCCACGACGAACGCTGCCTTAAACTGTCACTCATTTCAGCGATGTCAGCAATCGCTCAACACCAAGTTGCTCTGACTCTGTAAACAAATCGCGCCTGGATGGCGTGACGTGCGAAACGCACGCTTCAAAATGAAAGTGTAGATGTGCCCAGGACTAAAGTAGCGTGAAAAATTGGCCCAGCGGCCC